AGAAAATGTTCACGGACATCGGCGGAGGTCGTGAATTGGCCGGTTTCCTGAAAGAGAACCCGAAGTTGGAGATCGCAGGGGATACACTCGAGGAGCCCAGTCTGGGAGTCCTTTTTCTTGTATTTGTAGGCTTTTCGGGCCCTAAAAAGTTAAGTAAGGTCATGTGCCTCCTTTGTTTTCCAGACTTGCTCTTGGGCACTTTTTGTGCACTTGAGCGTGGGTGTGTTCATCATGTCCCATCCTGTGAACTAAAGTGCGGGTCCATGTAGCAGTTCAACAGAAGAGGCCCACAGGTCTGCCGTTTGACTAGATATCGCTTCTGCACGTAGAACTGACTGATCTGACTTGAACAGTTTTGAGCGTCGCTTTTGCTGTTTCAGGTCCAGGTTTACCCGTCTTCGCGGTGCTTCGCGTCGCTTTGTGTTACGGAGTTGTGTTGCTGCCCGCAGTGGTTGCGGGTTGTGTTGCTTGAACAGGTCAAGGTGAAGTGCAGAATTCGATTCGGTTCAGCTCCTTAGTGAAACTTGGAAAATGCTTTCCAAAGTTGTTGCAATGCGCAACTGCGGCTATCTTTTTCTTTCACTATCAGTTCGCAGTGTGAGAGTCCTTTGCTCAGCTGTTGGCCTGAACCATTAATTGATGTACTGTGTGTATACATTTTATATCTCACTTGCTGCCAGATTGCTGCGAGATCAAGGAGTTCTCACCCCTCTTTCATCCTCTTTCCCTATGCTTTTTATGACAGTTTGCTGAACAGTGAAGCTCGAGTTACTTCTCTCTCTCTCTCTATATTATATATGTCTACAGGCCCGCTTTTCCTTTGACTGCCATTTTCCCATTCGGACTTTTCGTAAGAGGGTGTGTGGGTTCATGCCTGCGAAACAAAACTGCACGGTTTTTGTCTTTTTGAACTCCCGTTACTTCGTTTCTTTTTTCCATCCGGTCATGCCGTTTTTTCGTCCCACAAAGCGGTCATGTTGATCATTCATGGTCCGAAGTTGGGATTCTTGGACCTCCTTCGGTTGGATATCTCCAGTCTTTCACGATGCTGTGCGCTTCATGAAGATCCGCATGGCGGAGGCCCCTAGCACATGGGCTGAATGTCTGTGTTTGCTAGACTTAAATGTTGTCGAACCAGCTTTAACTTTGTAAATTGTTTGCTATTTTGGTTCCTGTCCAAAAGCTGGCTGCTAGCAGTATGACATGCAGGCTGTAAGTTTCCGTGCGTTGTCCTGATGTCTGTGTGTGTGGTGCTTGTGTTTTTGTTTTATGTCGACGTTCTTTTTGTCTTTCTTGTCTTTCGTTCGATGCCTGGCGCTTCGATGGAAAAACATCAGACGCAGGAATGGGTCAGATGGGACTCTAATTCGTCAGTGAACGAGTGCGCGTCTTTTGTTGGTTGCAATGAAGATATGACCTCAGTGCAGCTTGTCCCTAATTGGGGAACCCTAAGTGCATGGGAGTTTAGTTGAGTCTCCAAGTTTGGAATCAAACCAATATTGTTGAAGAGTATGGTGACATCTCTCATTCCCGAAGAACATGTCAAAGATCATGAACCAGGTACGCACGGCGACAAGCTGTTTCTGGCTGGGGTGGCGGGATCGAAATGGTGTTGCTGGCATTATCATTTGGGGTTGCCAAGGGACGGAAAGACGATAGTCGATCTTAGGGCAACAACGGCCAAAAGTCACATCGCTTGTGGTTTCTTTCGCATTTCACACACAACATGACATCGTTAAATAAACTCATTGTCATGTCCTCACAATTTCTTGGATCCTTTCATTCCGGAAAGACTTGCGCCAGGCATGCTGCTCAACCCTCAAGAGCGTGAACATTCACGTTTACGAGAGCATGGGCAGGTGAGCTGCTGTAGGAAAGGTATGGTTTGCAGCCAATTCCTTTGCTTCGCCGTGGTTTGCTGCAGGTATTCCTCGGAGTTCAAGCGCATTTCATGCTTTGATAATCCACATGCAGTCGAGCGCTGAGTAGCCACTGTTTTTGGTTTTCCCATTATTCCTCAATGATGGATTCATGCCAAGGAAAGGACCATCCATGTCCCAGGCTCAGCGAATGTCAAGAACCCAAAATTATACTGTACATTGCGAAATTCGTCTCTAGTTTGCAGCTATTCCGCAATGTCATGTGAAGAAGCAAGTCTTTGGCGTACCAAGGTACTTTACCAAGGTGGCTTGCATTACGATGCATTGCAGCCACTGGCGACATGAGGCTTAAGACTCTTATGACCTGGCCAATGAATGACATCTGGTGAGAGATACTTGGAAATCTGTGTGAATGAACTTCAGAGCTATGACCTACACCAACACCTCAGGCCTGATCAAGCCTGTTTAAGATGAGATCACCCGCGATGTCACCATTCTTTGGGCATGTTCGTGCACCGCGTTTTTCCAACAGAGCTCATCTCATATCGGCTCATGGAAGCGAGCCCACGAAATGAGCTGTGAAGACGATCGAAGTTGGCCGGATTGGATCAGTTGCATGTCCTGTGTCCACCGCCCGCGTGGTGGCTTGGGCGGTTCCTCACAGTTGGACCATTCCACAGCTTGGGAGAAGATATGTGAACATATATGTTAACACCTTCCGGTCCCTCAGTCATGTGGGTACTCTGTGAGCACCTTCTGACCCAAGCATTTCGTGAAGCTTTTTCTTCGTGACTGATCCTGGCTCTTCAACTGCAGCACTGTCACAGCTGGAACCCAGATGCTTGGGCATGTCCCCACATCTTCAAGCGTCTGGACCAGCTGGGGCCAATCGTTTGGAGCATTTGAAAACACTGATTTGGACAGATTTATCATTGACGCAATTGAGGAGTTTGCACCAAAAAATAACTTCGAGATTCCTTTTTGCTATTCTTTGCTTCAATCACACACTCGGGAAATGCGTACGGAAATGAATGCCTCATGCAACACGGCAACCTAGGTGAAAAAATGGCATGAGTAAAACCGGCAGAGTAGGTTGGAGGCCATCGCTAGTAGAGTGGAGGCCATCTCGACGAGGTTGGAGGACATCGCTATTTGGTTGGCTCAGCTTCCCCAGGTTCAGCCTGTCGTTGATCAGTACAGTCATCTTGAGTACAAGGAAAATAAGGCAAGCGTATACTGAAAAATCCACCTTTGACTGCCTACTTCAAGGCACAACATGGCATCAAAGAAACACTTGAGATTCGCACGCACTTGGACAAGAACGCTCACGGCTCACGTCGAGTGCCGGCGTTCAATCCAACGAAAACGTCACATCTCCAGGTCTGACAGACTTGACATGAGACTTAACAGTGAAGGTGCGTTTACAACTCTCACCATCGGCCTCTTCGCTGGCCATCCATCAATGCTGAAAGTGATGGCCCCCGGCTTTTAAGACCAAAAGGTCCCCTGTGAATCCAAGGGTATCAAGGACACACCACACACACACCCCAATGGAAGACACTGACCGTGCCCGACACGTGCTGCAAACGAAACACGTAGATGTCTTGAAAGCTCCGTGCGCACCTGACACACGGGGTCAGTTGTTCGGCTGTTCGAACCTTTGGATCGTGCAAGGCTGCGTTGGTGAAGTTGTAAGCAATGGATTTGCAAGGGGTGTTTTTCAGCTGAAAAAGAGTAGGCGATGCCAATCATCAATCCCGGGTGATGTTGAAAGGTTTCTTCCACAAAGCTTTGCGCCAGATCGGTCAGCAAAGGTCCCCAAATCAGGGGTGTCTTGTATCTTGATTTGGTATCAGTTACCTTTTGCTAGTTTGACCATCAGTTTTGACTCATATCTTGCTGACGCAACCTTGCGACATTGGCTAGGAATTTGGCAAAGAGCATCGCCAAGACTTTTTTGAGGGACCCCTCAGACCGAGAATGGGGCCGCCCATGATGATGAGCATGACACCAAATCTAGGGGGTGTACTCGATATATGTATCTTCAAGGTATGCCAACCAAAGAAGACAAACATCACTTAGCAGGCCCTGCAAGAGATGTGCCACATGAAATGGCCGCATGTCCTACTGCAGATTCCGGAATTATGGGTGGTGAATTCTTTGCTCGGCTCGCACAATCGAGCCACGTGTCTCACCCTTGTGGGCTATGCCAAAGGCGACACCCACCCAGTGCAACTAGTTGGGAGGTCCTGGCGCATGGAATCGAGTCAACCTCTTGTCAGTTCGCCAAGTTTTCTCAGAATTGAATTTCATGCAATGAAGTCTCATGTTCCCCCAAATACCACGGGTCACCGTGACCATTTTCCAGTGAAAAAGGATCCGTGAAGATCCACAGATCTCATGTCACTGATCTCCAGAGTCACCCGTTTCTGGCTTGGACGATCGACGGACCAAGCTGAGTCTGATTGAGTTCGACGGAACGCTCGGAAGCTTCCGAACTGAGATCAACACCATGCTCGATCAAAAGATGCGACTTTGAACTTGGCTGAACTGCTGGTTGGTATGATACCACTATCAACAGATGCAGTGATTTCAGAGTTTTTGTTTAACTGTTGGGTGGGCGTTGTGACATGGATTCCAAGTTCGGGCTGTTTTGCTTTCGAGGTGATGGGATGGGATGGTGAGTTGTTTCGAGAGCAAGGACTCTTCATTGCAGGTGATAGTGCCCGGCCAGTTTGTTGCTTCGATATGTTGGATATGCCAGCAGCTTCATGCGGCGAGTTCCAGTTGAGTTTGCAGTGAGAATGTTCATGAATTGAACGCACACATTTTGGGAAGGCATTAAGACTGACCAAATCTGGTGGATGCCCTTTGAGACCGACTCTGGGATTCTGTTGCCCAATCCGAACCAATGTGGCCGTTGACCCCACCACAAAGAGGTGAAGTTGATGGAGGATATCTTCTGTATAGACACTAAACTACAAATTTTCGTGGGCCAACAGCTAGCGGCTAGCCCCTCCCCTCAACATAAGATTTTCACCAAACATTGCGTTTGGTGTAAAGTTTTGATGGCTTCCTGCTTCTGAACTGGGGGACCCTGTTGACTGCGGCATCGGCTTGAGCTTCGTTGCCCAGCTTTTGCGTCATGGGCATCTGGTAGTGCGAAGCTTAGAAGAGATTTTGCCCATTCCCGATGTTTGTTACAATAAGAATGCAGCCAGAAGGACAAGGAGGCCCTAAGCACCCCTTGCTACAATCAATAACCCTTCTGCAAACACTGGTTATATAGGTGTGGATTTCAATTATGGGGATCCCCAAAGATGGGGAAAAACACAAGAAGAGTAGCATCCAGTGGTTGGGGGGTCTCCCGAACTTCTGATACGCAGCCAGTTGAGTGAAACCACAGAGCTTATAAAGCACAATCTGTCAAAGGAGATTGACTCAGGCTGAGGCCTTGGCTAAGACGGCCGGGTACCAAGTTGAGACTTTGCAACATATCAGAGACGAGGATTTCCCTCCAAACTATCTTGGAGCATTCTATATGAGGACAGTGAGATGATGACTCGAAGACACTGAATGAACCGACCAGCTAAGTGAGGTGCACGCCAGATGTCAGGGAGCTCTGCGTGCGCCAACACCGCATGTTCAGGTCTTTCATGTCTTTGTGCCAACATATTACCTTCCGACATATACTGGGGTCAGCCGGAAGGCGATCGAAGGGAGTCGTTTCATTGACAGTTGCCGTTCTCATACTTTGAACTTCTTTGAACTTATCTTGGGATGTTCTTTTAGGCAGGGTAAACCTGCACCTCACATCGCCGGAAAAGCCTCAGAGTGGCCCTGGTATGTATACAACCCAGAGCATGACAATAGATAGTCCTCCATCGATGATCCTCCCATCCCGTCCCAGCAACACTTTGCATTCACCCCTTTACCCTTGCTTGCCTCAAAGATGGAAGCTTCGGAGTCGACTGATTTGTGCCTCTCACGCGAAGTTGACAAGGCTCTTGTTTCCGACAGAGGTTGAGGAACTGGAGGCTGCTCCCCGACATCTATGCTTCACTGCCAGGTACAGGCTGACTTGTTCTCGACAGACTGTGGAGGCGTCTAGATTCACTCATCTTCTCTCACAGGACTGAACTCAGGAAATGACGCTTGATGTATGCGTGTTTGCGGGTACTCTGCTGTGGAAAATCATCTCTGGTTCTCACTTCAAGTGTGTGACACCAGACGTTCGTTGGAACTTGACAACAGCAAAAAGCACTATACTAGGACCTAAACAGCATGCTTAGTACACCAGATTGTCGGATCAGCTAATTTAAATCAATGGACAGGCTTGTGAACTAACAGGTCGGTTCGATAACTTCGATTGCAAAGCCACTTTCTTGCCAAAGGCTTCTATGGTCCACAAAAGTTCTTCAGAGAACTGGATTTGGCCGAGATGTACCTAAGTTTGAGAGCAGGCTTTGAACATGGAGTGGAAGACTTGCGAGCACTGGCTCCCTTAACAGTGTGTTGCCAATGTGTCGTCAATATGAAGGCGCTGGAGGCTGCAACATACGCAACGGTTCAAACAATTGGATCGATCACAGAAGAAACTGTTCAACCTCAAGACGGGATCCAATTTTAGCCCAGCAAACCAGGATGAGCGCGTGATGTGGGCATGGACAGTAGGTGGTTATCTCTTTACTGTTCCATTGGTATGGGCACCTTCACCTGCAGATGGTGCACATTTCACAGGCAAGTTCATGACAGCTAAGGAAGGGTAACACCATGATTCAACTTGGAGAAAGCAGTTCACAGCAGTGTGCTGGAAAAAAGTTACTGTATATATAATATACTGTACAGTGCATATAATACACAAAACATTTTTATACGCAATAATTATAGTATGTAATATATGCTATAGGCTATATGATATACACTATGATATATAATATATAGTAATACATGATACATATATAGTACAATATAGTATATGCATAATACATATATGATATAATATATATAATATATTATATATACATATATATATATATGAGAGAGAGAGAGACGCGTGTGGTTTCACATGACATCAGTCCTCACACAGCTACATGTCGCTGCTTCAGCTCTGCCCAGTACGAATCCAAGCGTTGAGAGATGCTGGGACTACATGGGTCCTGTTCCAAAGAGGTGTTAGTTCATTTGCGCAGATTGATCCATGATGCCTCTTGCAAAGCGGACAAAAAGCATACAGACCCAATCAGGGCAAACTTGGCTCCAGTAGTCCGTGGAGCCCCTTCATCAACCATGAACGCAGAGATGATCGAGCAAGCTCGTTTGATAATATTTATACAACAAGGCGTTCGTTCTTGCTGTATGTGTCACGAGCAATTCTTTCTTCATCATTCATAAAGTCAGTGCCACGGCACGATAATCTTTGCAGCCTTGCAGCACCTGCACACTTCAACTCTTCTTGTTGAAACCATTGCAAAAGGTGCAGGGAAATGCAAGTAACACATCGGTTGCAGGGCCAACACTTGAGTTGGTACCACTTTGGCTCAAGTGTGGTCCTGCCAACGGCTTGTTGAAGTGCCATGTTTCCGGATATTTTTCTGGCTGTGGCATTTGTGGTGGGCTTTGTGGTTGGCCAGATAACCTCAGGCTGTTGCCGGCAGAGGCCACTGGCCCCATTGAGTTCTTGCTTGGTCGGACCAAGTGCGTTCCCGCACCTCAGGTTCGCGTGAGGCAGGCATGTCAATGATAAGGCAGGATGCTGAAGAGGCTCACTACGTTGATCCAACAGCAACAGACCGGAGGCGGCCAGGTGAAGGGTTGCCAAAGACGGCCAAACGGAGGCAAAGTAGAGATTAAAGCGTGGAGAGAGATGTCAAGTCGCAAAAGTTGACAGATGCCCCATGGAATGCGAATCGCACAGGAAATGGGGCGTCGAGTGGCGGTGGACATCCTCGAGAAGCGGGGCGGGGGTTATTGTGATGGTGACCGATCTGCTTTGCTTTTGCCAAAAAGTGCTGTGGGTGCACGCGATGAGCCTTGCAAGCGTCGGAGGACTCATTGCTGTCAACATTGCGGGAGTTCTCGGTGCAGTAAGACGGACGCATGCGAGGAAAGGGCAAGTGAGAGGAGTGTGAGCATGGACCTGCTGTGTTGGCATCTTTCCAGTGGGATGCAAACTGATCCATGCTCATCCGACCTCCTGGCTTTGATCGGTGTTCTGCACGATGGAGCAAAAGGCCCGTGATCTACCATTGAGGACAGCCCCCCTGGCTTCAATCCATTTGGCTCCAAGGTGTTCCATCTGAAGGCTCAAACGGACGGCGCTCGATCCCAGCTCTTGCAGCATGGAGGAGTAACCGCCATACCCCTGGCAGGAATAGACGACGAGGTGACGAACATGAAGCTAGCAGGCAAACAATGTGGGCCCAAATCCTTGTGTCAAGCCGGCATGCTAGCAAACATATATATATATATAATCTACCCTACCCAACCTCCTTGAATTAGACAATCATGTTCCGTTGGTTGGCGGTATGACCAAGTCGAACTTCTCGAAGTGTGCAGGTGCACTGGGGGAACACAATTAAGAAGTGTGACCCAACAAAGGAAGACACAGGACTCAGCAAAAAGCCACTGCTCAGTTGACCTGCACTTAATTACCTTCACACTTCCATCTGAAAGCATCGCTTGCGCCACTCACCGCCGTCTGTTTCCGCTTGCAGCCAATGCAGCAACGCTCGACCCCATGCATGCGTCAACCCACATTGATACTTAGCTGCCACGCTTGTCCGCCACGTCACGAAGCAATCATCCAAATAAAAATATGTTTTTTCAAGCCTTTCCAACCAAGCTGCCTCTGACATCTTCGCACATCCATTCAGACTTGGTCAAAAAGTCAGTGGGTTTTCTTGTGACTGCTCTGTAGGCACATTGTGGTGCAACTGTATCAACTCAGTTCCTGCAATGCAAAACAAGGGCTCCAAAGAAACGACGGTTCTTGATGGCAAACACGCGCATCCCCGCTTTACAAACAACATGATCAATGCAACAATTTTGCGAGAGATGCGGTTAACTTCCTCGGCTTCCGTGTCTCCCCACCCTTCTGGATGTGTCTCAGACCTAAGATTCAAGTGGTACAGAAGGCGCAATGCATGTGAATTCAGGCAATGAGGCTGTCATACGAAGTAATCCCGAATGGAACGGCAGTAAAACGGCCAACGCTCGGTCCACGTTTCACCGTCATTTACGTAGTTGCTCACAAATAGAACGATGCATCTCATCCATAGATGCAGCGGTGCACATCCACGCACTTCTCTTTCCTCAAAAAGAACGTGGACACAGGACAATTGTTTTGGACGCAGGACAAGACTGTTTGTTGACCGATTTAGTTTTCATTTTTGTGATGGACTTTGTGAACCATCAGGGACCGAATCAGTTCTTATTCCTTTGTCTGACCCGTTGCCGGCCTCATGTCGTCGGTGTGTTGCCCCCAGGAGTCCTTGACCTACAAAGAAGTCGACTTCTCCGAATGCAACCTGACGAATGACACACTGAAAGTGGTACGCCGCAAGAACCCTTTTTTGAGCCTGTGCATGTTTCAAAGGAATGTGAGCCAGCGCTGAGCGTCAGCTGTGCGTGCTAGTGAGCTAGTGATTTGAACACTAGTCACTAGTCCTTGCTCTCGATGCTGGTATACTGTATAGCCCGTAGAACTCTTGGCTCAATGCTCGGAAACCACCCGAACCAACCACTCCTGAGCAGGAATGTACAATTTTTGGTGCAAATGTAAAGCTGCCGGACGAATCCATTGACAGGTGCTAGACATTTGCGGCCGCTGTGCGAAGCTGCGGATACTAAAGCGATGCCGACTTGTTTCCTTCCACAAAGCATTTTGCAGCTTCTGGAGTATTCTCAAGCTGTCGCAGGTGAAGCGTCTAAAGGGTGATGCTTGAAGGAGTTCGTGTGCACAACAATCTCGCTCGTCCAACTCTGTTTATCCAGGTTATACAGAAATAACTTAGATGACAAGTCTGCAGAAAGCCGGGACCTCAGTACCGTGGGGCAAAAGACTTGTTTGTATCGATTTCAAAGCATGAACTGCCAATGGAATCAAGAAAAGGTGCCTAGTCAACTGAGTAATTTCATTAATCTTGTCAATGATCAATGCACTATTGGCTTGCCTACACTCCTTGCTGGCTTAGTGTATCAATTGCACGGGTGTGCATACTGTACACTTGCCAGCCAAAGAATGCGTGACTCTTCATTTCCACTTTGTGCTGAAGACACATCTCAGGTGTGGGTGGATGTGCATGCATAATAGGTTCCCATACCCACACGCGCATTGAACAGTGAAATCAGTCAAGGCATGTTTTGATGCAGCAACTGGATCGCTACTAGGAGAAAGAACGCTACTAGGGGCTCCTGGCCCAACTACTAGGAACCAGGACGCTACTAGGGGGCTTCTGGCATCGCTACTAGGAGCAAGAACGCTACTAAGTTGAAACCACGCCTGGACATCTGTGCAGGGCTGGCAGAAATGCTACGCAAATGCCCGGAGCTAGAGGCTCGACTTAGGTGTCATAGTTGGCTGAATGCTCTTTGAGATGCTTGGTTTGACTTGCTTGGTCTAAGTAGGCAAGGGTGTGTTGGCAACTTGTTTTGTTTGGGTGATACCCTATACCAAACCCACATCTCAACCTGGGATTCTGTCAGGAAGAGCTCCATCCTACTCAGATTTCAATATCACAAGGCATCACTCCCTCACTCAACTAGAAACAAACTCTTGAAGTTGGTTGACTGCTTGCTGACTAAGAATCACTGATGACCAGTTTTCTACTTCGTCCGTTGGAAGTTTCCGGACCGCATTTTTGGGGGATCGAAGTCCCGGTTGATCCGAACTCTTTGTCACTCTCGATGCGACGATGCGAGCTGAAGCTGAGTGAAGCTCTGAGCTGAAGCTGAGCGAACAGGAGCTTCATCTCTCACACAATTTCTTCACCGCTGATGGCGTCAAGCGCCTGGTGGCGGCGGGTGTCGGGCGGCCCGGCCAATGGTGGTGGACCTCCTCCGGGAAAACTGGGAAAACCGTGGGGGTCACAGATCTTTTGTCCCAAGAACTGCCTAATGAGAAGCCTCAAAATATGAAGCCTCTGCAGTTCTGGTTGCTGAGACCGGCAATATTGTCCGTCGGTGCCAGGTGTTGAAGGGATTATACCTATCAGCTACACCACTACCCAGAACAGACCTTTTGAATCCAAGTGCTGCTACAGCCACTACCAGCTAATCACAGCCAAGCAGACACCGCTTTGGCCTCACAAGGAGAGCTTCTCTTGGGAAGACAAGACGCAACCTCTTTGGCTGCGCCTAGGACTGGTCGTTGGAAGTATGAAGGGCAAGTTTGATGTCTTGGAGTTGAGGATACCTGACGCCAAACATTTCAAGACGTCAAACAGCTCGCGGGTTCAAACAGCTTGGTTCAGCCTTATTGACATTCAGAAGAGGCAAGACTTATATATCAAGACTTACAAGACAAATCTATTACCAAGAAATGGTCCTCAACACCTTCGCCTGTTTCTTTGCTCGGATGATTGTCCTTTCGGATGTGCACCACTTGTTTGTCCGGACTGCGTCTCGTGGTCCGCCACATGCCGACTGTGACTGTGCAGAACAAAATAGCGTGGTGGATCCCGAGACGATCTGCAAAGATTTGGAGGAGGAATTCAGCGTTGGGTACCTCAGACAGACTCGAGACCAAAGAAGCCTTTGTGAGGGTACCCTTTATTTTGAGCTGTCGAAACAATGCTGGGCCGAAGACATGTGGAGCAACGCGTCCCGCATGTTTCGCCTGACCGTGTGGAGACTGATCTCCACCACCAGGTGTGCAGGCGCTCCGATGACAAGAATTGTACGGTCCGGATGTGCGTGAACAAGATGAAGGCCAGAACAAGCTACTATCTGCAATGTGAGGTTCTTTTTTGGGCAGAGTGCTCGCATCATGTCACCACTGTCTTTAAAGAGTTGGTTTTACAGCTGTACAGAGCTTTATTGAAACATCATAGAGTATCATATTGGATTAATATTGGCAGCTGAGCCTTGTAGTGGCGCCAAAAGTATGCGAAGGTTCACCTTCCTTTCTTTCACCTTCAGCGTCAAAGCTTCAAATCACGAGAGCAGCAAGCAGCAGAAGTGCGGGGCCCATGGACTGGGGCAGAAGCTGGGCTTTTGGATATGAAGGGCATGGGTTTGTGAGAGGGCATGGGCCGTTCAACGTGGCATCTCCAAGATTTGCCAGACTTTGTTTTGGTATCCTGCTCGCTTCACAGAAAGACACTGTAGAGAAATGTCAGCAATGAACAGATCAAATATTTGTGTGTGCATTTGAAGATGTTTCTAGTCATTTCTAGTAAATTTTATTTGTGTTGACATGATTGCGCCAGGCGAAAGCCAAGCAAGCACCACCTGTCCAAAGCTTGGATGACAGTCGTCATCATTAGCATCATCAGCATCAGCATCAGGATCATCACGATCACGATCACTTGAAATAGTTATGGTATATATATATATACTGTAATTGTATATACAGAGTTAGCGAGTATCATTACGACTATTGTGTTGGATATCCGTGTGTACACACGTTGTGCTTGACCATGTGGTTCAAGCTGAGATGTCCAACTTCGTTGAGACACTGGGTTTGCAAAACCATGATCCGTTACCCACATCTGAGAGTTCGGCCCATGAGAGGCACCCGCGACTTGTCATATTTCTAGCCTTCTCTTTGCAACCGAATCCCAAAGCATCAACTTGCTAACGCACTTGTTGAGTGCAGTGCACCTGTCGGTGCAAGACTTAGACTTGTGAAACAAGACCCAATAACACCTACAGATGTCTACCTTGAAGGTGCACATCGTTCTTAGCAGGAGCTCACCGACTTTCCAAAAAAACAAAGGTTTACCATGGTTTACCTGTTCTCGGGGGAAGTTCTTGCTCCTTTTGAAAAAGGGTGCAAACCCTGCCGGAAAGTCGTTGGGTTTTCTCCGGTCATTTTTTTCTGGACTGCTTGAGGTTCCTCTTTTGCCTCAACAGTTGTCTCCGGTTGTCTTCGCATGTGGATTGCTGGGATCGCCGCTGCGGTGTCGAAATTGCCGGACAGACTTGTCTTCGGCTGCCTTCATTTGAAAATCCGACTTTGAAGTTGGCTTTATGAGAAGCCTCCAATTGGTGGCATTCGTTTTGCACAAGAGCACAGGTAGACTGACCGTTCGGGGTCCATGCGGCGTGTTCAGGTGCCCACCCGCTCGATGTCCCGACCCGAAGCAGGGGCACCAAAGCAGGCTGTGGTCTGTAGAGGTAGTACTCCACATTCAGTGCATGTTAAAACCTCTGAACTTGTACATCACGCAAATGGTGGTATGAACACAAAAATAGCAAAGATACAGATACTTAATGATGCGCATGTGGATATGATCGCGCCGTTGGAACACCGCTTCACCAAAGGACTGCAAAAGGGAATATTGCAAACTTTTTGTGTTTTCTCTTTCACCCTTTGATGTTCTGCAGGCGGCTGCGAAACCTTGTGCCTGGGGCAAAGGAGTGGGGCTGAGGGTTTTTGTCCTCTGAAACTACTAGTAGTACCAGAAGCTACAGCTACAGGTGCAAACTCACTGCCAAGGCCAGAATAAAGTGGCCAAGCCAGAATGAATCCTCCAAAGTATTCCATGTTGGTGTTGAATTTGCCTCAAAATCCAGCTTGCTCTGCTTTGAGGTTTGTTACTATTCTTTTCGTTTTCCAAACATTGCTTGGTATTCCGCTGTTGTCCCAACCCTTAGAAAAAAAGTCAGCGGACATGAGTGGACCAGTTTCCCCCTCATCCTCATCCTCATCTCTTACGGGAGCGGCCTGATGCGCATCGAGACCAGAAGCGACATAGCGACATCGCTCCTGAGAGCTCAAGACAAATAGACTCTGAAGTGTTGGCGTCCTTGCTCCTAGTAGCGATGCCAGGAGCCCCTAGTAGCTTCTTGTTCCTAATAAGAGTCACACGGACAGAGAACCAACAGTTGTTCGAAGCAATCAGTTCCTTCCCAACGTTGAATCTTTTTGGAGTCAATTCCGCTCGCCGAACAAAGTGACCACTTTTTTGGCAACTGGGTCAGAAAGGTCCACGTGACTTGGCCGCCATGCAGGTAAGGCCTTGGCAAGGCTTTCTGTAAGGATTTGTAAGGCTTTCTACGGCGGTTTTTGGCATCCTTGGCCAAATCGCTTCCCTGCGTCACTTTCTTCCCGCAAAGCGAAGAGTAGAGAGAGGTTTGTGCAGCTTGAGTGGCAAACCGGATGAATTCGAAAGAAGGTGTAAGTGGAACCCAACTTGTTCCGGCAGACAGTTTACAAGCTATCACAAGGGCCAGTTGCCTGCAGATTGGCTTACCACAAAGCATGCTTTTGATTTCTCTGGTCGCAGCTGCCATTCGACCTTGTGTCCATGATAAAGTGGGCAGCGGCAGTGACAAGTCCCAGTTCTAGCTTGGACATATCTGTGTTTTTACTTATTTTTTCGTTGTGACTTGTGCTTTGGCTTGCCAGTCGTTCTGGGGGTTTTGCTTGCGGTATTTGATGGACATGTACTGCAGAAAGTCTCACTTGGCTTCCCGTGGATGCGAGACTTATATAGTGTACAGAACGTCATTGCAATATGAAGCAGGCTAACCTTCCTCGCCTTCATTGGACCGTGTCAATACTACGGGGCAAAATCTCCAGATGCAGTAAGCAACACCGAAAGAAGTAGCTTTCCAGTCTGACAACGTCCACTGTGAGAGGACGAGTGGCAGACGGCAGCCCAAAGTCTGGGTATCCTGCGCTGGGCGCGAAGGACCCGCAGGCCAAGGGAAGCGAAGTGTCATGAAGTGTAGCTAAAGTAACTTCTAGGAACAAGGGCATCGCTACTGTTAATTGTAGCAAGTTGGATACTAGTGGAAATGCACTTGTTCCTAGTAGCGATGCCCTTGTTCCTAGTAGCTTCATGCTACTAGTAGTAATGCCCTTGCAATGCTTTCCTGTGTCATGATGTGCATCGCATCATGCTGTTTGTGTGCACAGTCTTCCATATCTGCTAAAGGCCGTCCTAAAAAGAACGCTCTTGCCGTCCATAGCCATGGGGATGTGGTCAGATGGTGGCCATCCGACTTTTTCCTGGGACCTGGGAGGCTTCCCCCAAAGCCACCGCCTGAGCCTCAGCCGTGCTGGTCTGAGCCCTCATGCTGACATTCAGATGCAAACTGGAGCTGGTTGAGGGCAAGGTGACAAGGTCTGGTGCTTTGGCAAAAGCAGCCGAGCTGACAAGGCTCTTTTAATGAGTTATAGGAGGATCTAGGAGGGGCCGACCAGGAGGTCAATCAGTCGTTTTGGACATTTTCGGTCACGGCCTCACTTCTAGCTGAGTGTAGCATCACCTTGGTGGAACTTGACCGTTCTGAGGCCCAAGTTGAGCCAACCAAAGCTGAGCTGCTCCTCCAGCCTCTTTGGAAGGCGCCCGAAGCGAGAACTGTCCATACTACGATTGGAGGAAGAAATCCCACATCATCCAGAGCAGAGAAAACCACAACATTTACATACATTGGTGGTTCGAGGTGTTGCACCCTATTTCTTCCATCAACAGTAGAACTACAGAGCTTGATATTCTTGAGGATTTGTTTATTTATTTGTTTATTTATTCATTGTTGTAATTTATTTATAGCTGTTGGTCATGCCAAAACAGCTGCACATGTTCTAGAACAGATTTGGTTAGGACGAAACAAACAGGGAAGGCTTGTCTTTTTGGAGAGTGCTGCAGGCCGGGGGTCGGCCTTCAGTTGTTCTGGACAGCTTTGGGCGATGAGCTGAGTATTGTTGCCACAAGCAAAAGGCCAACATGGTCTGTTGCATTGACCTCAAGCTCGAGGTCCAGTTCCATGCGTTCATATAGTTCGGATGTGTTTGGCGCCTTTTCCTTCACAGCATGTATCTATAATGTTTCGGCGGGGCAACAGCATCGGCTCTGAACCAAGCGCGCTGCTCTAAATCGCATTCCCTTAGAGAACTGGCTCAACAACAAGAGAGAGGGAATCGGTCGACATGGAGCTTTCGAGCCTTCAAGCAAGTTCACCTCCAAAACGCGGACGACATGGAATTCAGATTGATTTTTGAGGCAACGTCGGACTATGCCAGAGCAGCTGGAAGGGGCCGGAGATTTTGAGTTTGTGGATCAAGAGTTTCAGAAAGCCAGAAAGTAACCTTTGAAGTGGAACATGCACCGTTCTGGCCGCTCAGGCAGTCCAAAGGGTTGGATTTTCCACAGATCGAATTCCCTGGGTTGAACATGAGAATCTGTTGTTTTTTTGATATTATTTTGTCCGGTGTTGAGATTGAGATCTGAATCTCATCCTGCTCTGTTATCTTGAGGGTGTGACGCAAGCCGGAAGCAAAGGACCGTCCGTACCACGATCCGCGGTCGTCTCGTCGTCTCGTCGTCTCGTCCGCCAGGTCGATCCGAAGGACTTCGTCTGCGCGTTGTGTCGCTTTGTGATGATCAAGTGGGGCGACTGAGGACACGGGACGGATGGGACAACACGGCGCCTAAAATCAGGCACTGCCACTGCCAGAAGTGTGGATGATTGGCCAATTGAAGGAGTTTTCGTCAGAAGTTTTTTCTTGATTTCGAGTGAGGATTGACTTGTAGTTTGATGACACTGAGGCCAGTGATCACCCGATGCTCGCATATCTTTTGCTCATGCTGCTTTAGACAATGGGTTCAAAGACAGGCCCGAAAAGATTTGCGGCTGGGAGACTGACTTAAATTCATCTTCGGTTGGACAGGACAGAACTGTTTTCGAGGGAGAACAGATGTGATGCATTCGATGATGGACCGCCAATTCGATGCTGAGAATGTTCTCCTTTTTCAACTTGCTTGGCTATAGCGGCTACACTTTTGAGTACATTTTTACTTCATGAATATTTGTCGCGGGAATCTTTTTGAGGGGTGCAAGAACATTCACCGGACTTGGGCACTTTGGCAATCAGTTGTTGGTCATATGGAATGCAACCCTGTTGTTCGGGCCATGATGGCAATGTTCTTTCATTTCTCCTCTCTGCCAGGTAGACTTGCAGAAGAATCAGAATCAGAATTCTGGCCCTCCTGTCACTGTCAGAGCCTCACATTCCAAGACCTATTACATTGCTTTACTACAAAGCCTCTATCATGCATGTATTTTCATTGTTCAGATTCACGTACACACCCGCATCATACCTGCCGATCATGAACTCCTACACAAATAACTGCGCATTCCTTCACTACATACTTATATAGATACTTCTATAGTTTTTTTGCATGCAATCTGACACAGTTTCCTTGAAACTACAGGCACGGAATAGGTTTCTTTTGGGTTATTATTCTGTTATTCAGTAGTCCGATTCCCCTTTGACGTCCACCGCCTCAGGTGCCCCAAATTAGATGTCCCCATGGAGGCTGTGATCAGCTCCTCAAGAAGACCGACGTCAGACACTGAGTCGGTCTGACCGATTCAGTTCTTGTGCTGCTTCGCATGTCGAGAGGACGTTCGAAAACCATTGGACCATTGGACGTGTTATTTAGATATGATGAATACATGTGTATATTAAACATTGTATTGTAATGTACTGTAATGTATATGATTTAATGTAATATTTCATTCCAGACATTGTTTTGCCAAGTTTCAGGTAGTTTAACAAACACAAGTAGGCAGTTGCTTGTTTTTTCCTCACCTCCACTCAGTGGGCTCTCCGTTTGGCCTCGGTTTGGAGCCGTTTATTCTTTTTTCCGATTTCGCGTGCAAGGTCGAGTCTGCCGACCTGGCCTTAGTGGTTCCAAAATTCATTTGGAGGGTTGGCACCAAGGCTTGTTTTGTCGAAGGGTCCTGAAGGGTCAATGATTCACTCTTCTGCTTGATGCGCTTTTTTGGAAGGAAGACGGGATTGCAGGTACTACTAGTAGACTCCAGTCCAGAGAGTTCAATGAACAAGCAGAACCTGAACTGAGGATGATGGCAAGACCAGCGGCGTTCAGCTCTTCCAACGGCTTCGGAACAATTTGAGCATTCGATGTGTGCACCATCCGGACCATCAGAAGCCTTTTGCCTCAGTGATGCCTTCGGGTCTTTCATCGACCCTTCTAACCGATCTCGTTGTGATTTTGCATGTAGATGAAGGGACTAAATTGGAAAGCATCCATGGAGATTGGCCTTGCTTGTTTTGTCTTTGTGTGGATGCGATATGATGTGATCAGGTTCGAATTCGGCAAAGATGCAAGCCGCGTCCTGTCGGAGCAAGGCACCCATGAGTGTCGGCCTTTAACGAAGGGCAATTGAACATTGATATATATATATATATAACCTGGAGGCTCACGATACACACCAACCCAATTGTTTATTTGTTTGCCACACTTGTCACCTATGACTCCTGACTGGAAGTTGCAAGTTCATTCTTGGCCATTGTTTGGCCGAGGTGTCGTAAAAGATTGTAAACAGATTTTGTTGTTTTGGATATTATATATATATATATGTATGGATGTACGGTAAAAGATTTCAGCCTGTCTACACGATGTTGGTGTCCAGGTTTGCACGTTTCAGACCTGAAGTGAGGATTGAAAGCTTTCTGTTGATGTTGGCAGATGGTGCTGTTAGCAAGACCTTTCTCAGCGTTTTAGAGCAGCCGCGTGGCATGTGCTGGTTACAAGAGTGACCATCGGACCATCGGACTATATATAGATTCATTATGTAGCTTTCTCAAGTTTCAGGAGTTTATGTTTTAGCGAGATAGCTGCGGAATTTAAGTAGCTGTTTCACGGCTTTCACGCGGGGGGCGCGATCCGCGCCCCTGTGCGAAGCCTTAGATTAGCCGCATCATGCGGCTGATGGCACTTTTGCTGCTGAGATGCGAAGCAGTACTAGATCTCCTGACTGATTTGAAGATGCCACGAGGCCTAGCTTTAGATTTGAGGGAACAAAGACTCTACTGGGCTGAAGATGGCGCCAAAAAGATCAGGAGTGCCACACTAGATGGGCAGGACCTGAAGGACGTCATTGTAAAGGATCAGGTCCAAGAAGCACCACGAGATGTGGCCATCGATCCAACGAACCAAAAGATCTACTGGACGGCTCTTTGTTGCGGCCTTCGCAGGGCTGATCTAAATGGATCCAATGAAGAAGTCATCGCCAATGCCGAGTTCGCCAGCGGCGTGGCCGTTTTGGACGACTATGTGTACTGGGCAGATTGGATGCACGGCACAATCTTGCGTCATCATGTGGTGTCTGGGGAAGAAGAAGCGATCGTCTCTGGCTTGGCTTCACCGGTGGATGTGGCCCTTGACGCGGAAGCGCGAGAAATCTACTGGTCAGATGTTGGTCTAGGACGGACGCAACGCGCCTCACTAGGAGGCAACAATGTCCAGTCCTTGAACATGAGCTGGGCGATCATGAATACTTATGGCATGGCCGTGGATACTGATGCCAAGAAGCTCTACATGGCAGATTTCGAGAAGACTGGGGAATTAAGTGGAAGAAGCACGGATTATTCAGGTCGCATTATCCGAACAAACTTAGATGGCAGCGGTGCTGAAGTCCTTTTGCTGTGTTAAGGAAGCTTTGAAGACTTGGAGCTTAGTGGCAAAACAATTTTGGAAAAGAGTCTCACTATGTCCCACTGGCGTTCCAACTAGAAACAAGCACTCATTTTGACAGCTTTCCATGCGAGCGCCCCAAGGTCTTGGTGAGAGAGCCTAGCATGAGCATGCCATATGGAGTGGCGGTAGACGCTGATGCTAGCCAGGCTGGGTGTGGAGCATGTTTCTCCAAAACGTTAATTTCTTGCAGAATCTACCAAAAGCAGAAGCGACATCTTCAATATCTTCAGGGGTTCTTCATAAATCTGTGTGTGTTGGAACTGATTTCTGCTTTGCAGCACTTAAGTGCACTTATATAAGTACACAAGCCCGCTGGCCAAAACGAAACAAAGACCGTGTTTGCCGCCTTTCTTTCCGGGGAAGTCGCTGTGTTTCGAAGGTCTACTGGACAGATCGCAAGGCAGGGCGCATTCAGCGCCTCACGTTGATGTGTCGAAACGGCACCAAGGAGGTACGGAGTCGAACCAACGTCACTGTTGCAACTCGACCGGAAAAGCGACGAAGTTGGGACGGGGATTAATCAATGATTGATCAATGAAACAGCAAAAGTTCTACAGTAATCACACACACATACGCGGATGGACCCATGTGTATTCAAATCGAGAAAATCGAGACACTTGCATATAACTCAAGCTACTAGGAGCAAGTGCATCGCTACTAGTCACAAGTGCATTGCTACTAGTAACAAGAAGCTACTAGTAGCTAAGGGCATTACTAGTAGTAGCAAGAAGCTACATTGCACATATATATATATATATGCACGGTAGCCGGAGTTCTCAAGCACAAAGTGGTGAGAGGCGATG